CACACACACACACCCACACACACAAAACCGATATATGTGATACATTTTCAACTTGAGAGCGTGTGCTTTGGAAACACTGAAATTATTGGGGTTTAGCTCTGAAACTATTCAGTGTTTGAAACTATTGTTTGCCCCAATTAATTCTCGGTTTCCATTGGAAGTCTATGGCAGTGTCGCTTTAAGGTAAGTCATTTCACTCGGAGGCCATCTTTGATGCCTCTCTGGCAGCTATTTCAGTCATGCAAGTGCAGCTCCTAACTCTTTGAATCAGGAACATCAAATTCTCCAAAGCTCTTCACAAACCTAAATTTCATATTTGAAAGCACAAATGAAATCTGACAACGACTGTCTCATAAATGTTGTTTCTTATGCTCAAATAGGTTTAAAACAGCGTATTTTTCAGGCTAGATGAGCCAATGCACATGTGCAGTCCTAGGTGCACGTCTCAGAATGCTGACTGTTTCTATTGCAACCGGAGCTTCTAACGAACCGATTGACGACTGGCTCAGTCATTTCATCAAGCCATGAATGTGTTTAGGAAACACTGAAATTAATGAAAATAATAACCGCCATTTTACTGAAACAGTTTTTGACATTTTAGTGGAAAAATACTGGTAAATCTTACCTCGCGCTAATAATTGTGATCATAGGCAGAAATCATGTGGAGGTCAGATTTCACTTTTGGTGTGAAAAGGCTTTTATATTTGCCAAAAATATAACTTTTTTATTTTAAAAACAAACAAGCAAGCCCTGTCTAGATTTAAAAAGTAGTGCAAAAGTAACGTAACGCATTACTTTCCATAAAAAGTAAATAAGTAACTTACTTAATTACTTTTTTTATGGAGTAACGCAATATTGTAATGCATTACTTTTAAAAGTAACTTTCCTCAACAATGGTCAGGACCTACCCCATCTGAGGGTTTTAAGATATTAAGTATAAATTTATATAAATAAGATATTTTTGATGAAACCCCAGATCTTTCTGACCCTCAAGGGTACTACACAGTCAAGGCACAGAAACATAGTAAGAACATCATTAAAATGGTCCATGTGACATCCGTGGTTCAACCGTAATTTTACAAAGCTACGAGAATACATTTTGTGCGCAAAGAAAACAAAAATAATGCCGGTAGATAGTAACTCAGGAGAGAAGAACTGTCGAATAAAGTCGAACTTTTTTTGTGCACAAAATGTTTTTAATTACGGTTGAACCACTGACGTCACATGGACTATTTGTCGATGTTCTTGGTATGTTTCTGGGCCTTGAACATGATAGTTACTTTGCTGTCTATGGAGGGTGAGCGAGCTGTCGAATTTCATAAAAAAAATCTTCATTTGTGCTCTCAAGATGAACGAAGATCTTACGGGTTTGGAACGACATGAGGGTGAGTAATTAATGACATAATTTAAATTTTTGAATGAACTAACCCTTTAACAACTGTAGGATTACATCAAGTGGCCTACAAAAATAATGGCAAATGGCAGCTGGGGTGAAGTGCACAGTGAGGACGGTTCAAAACAGGCTCCTAGGGGCAGGGCAAAGCTAAAAAAAAATCCCTTCATCAATGAGAAGCAAAGAAGAGCCAGCCTGAGGACTGAACCTCTTCTGATGAGTTTTTCAGCTTTGCCCAACACCTGGGCTGTGTTCCAGTTCACTTTTAGACACGGACTCGCAAACTTCCCTTTCCATAAAAAGTAAATAAGTAACTTACTTAATTACTTTTTTTATGGAGTAACGCAATATTGTAATGCATTACTTTTAAAAGTAACTTTCCTCAACAATGGTCAGGACCTACCCCATCTGAGGGTTTTAAGATATTAAGTATAAATTTATATAAATAAGATATTTTTGATGAAACCCCAGATCTTTCTGACCCTCAAGGGTACTACACAGTCAAGGCACAGAAACATAGTAAGAACATCATTAAAATGGTCCATGTGACATCCGTGGTTCAACCGTAATTTTACAAAGCTACGAGAATACGTTTTGTGCGCAAAGAAAACAAAAATAATGCCGGTAGATAGTAACTCAGGAGAGAAGAACTGTCGAATAAAGTCGAACTTTTTTTGTGCACAAAATGTTTTTAATTACGATTGAACCACTGACGTCACATGGACTATTTGTCGATGTTCTTGGTATGTTTCTGGGCCTTGAACATGATAGTTACTTTGCTGTCTATGGAGGGTGAGCGAGCTGTCGAATTTCATAAAAAAAATCTTAATTTGTGCTCTCAAGATGAACGAAGATCTTACGGGTTTGGAACGACATGAGGGTGAGTAATTAATGACATAATTTAAATTTTTGAATGAACTAACCCTTTAACAACTGTAGGATTACATCAAGTGGCCTACAAAAATAATGGCAAATGGCAGCTGGGGTGAAGTGCACAGTGAGGACGGTTCAAAACAGGCTCCTAGGGGCAGGGCAAAGCTAAAAAAAAATCCCTTCATCAATGAGAAGCAAAGAAGAGCCAGCCTGAGGACTGAACCTCTTCTGATGAGTTTTTCAGCTTTGCCCAACACCTGGGCTGTGTTCCAGTTCACTTTTAGACACGGACTCGCAAACTTCCCTAAGCACTTCCCCTCGGGAAAGCAGTCCACTTCGAGTAACTCAGGAGAGAAGAACTGTCGAATAAAGTCGAACTTTTTTTGTGCACAAAATGTTTTTAATTACGATTGAACCACTGACGTCACATGGACTATTTGTCGATGTTCTTGGTATGTTTCTGGGCCTTGAACATGATAGTTACTTTGCTGTCTATGGAGGGTGAGCGAGCTGTCGAATTTCATAAAAAAAATCTTAATTTGTGCTCTCAAGATGAACGAAGATCTTACGGGTTTGGAACGACATGAGGGTGAGTAATTAATGACATAATTTAAATTTTTGAATGAACTAACCCTTTAACAACTGTAGGATTACATCAAGTGGCCTACAAAAATAATGGCAAATGGCAGCTGGGGTGAAGTGCACAGTGAGGACGGTTCAAAACAGGCTCCTAGGGGCAGGGCAAAGCTAAAAAAAATCCCTTCATCAATGAGAAGCAAAGAAGAGCCAGCCTGAGGACTGAACCTCTTCTGATGAGTTTTTCAGCTTTGCCCAACACCTGGGCTGTGTTCCAGTTCACTTTTAGACACGGACTCGCAAACTTCCCTAAGCACTTCCCCTCGGGAAAGCATTCCACTTCGTCAAGTGGATGAGGGAAGTTTATATGGACATACCCTCGATCCCTCGATTTTGACCGAGGGAGTGAGTCTGCTTCATATGCACACTTCAGGCCGCTCTATAGACCCCAATGCAACACGACTATGACGTCAAAGCAGATCGCGTTTAATTTATCCCCACCCCAAACAACTCTTGGATTTGCCATGTCATGACCCCTTTAAAACATTCAACATTAAAAATGTATTAGAGAAGAACATGTTGATATGAAGACATGCTCTTTTCCTGCAATTATATTTATTAATATTAACATTTTCATACATATATATATATATATATATATTTTTTTTTGTTTGTTTTTTTTAAGTACAGTTGTTTGTAAAGCACAATTTGCTGTAGAAAAGGAGCTGTGACCCCATTACTTGTATTTAAAACTAATTTATACAACTTATGTAGACTTCTACTTTAAAATATGTTTTTGTAAAACTGCTTTGTAGAGGTAAATGTGGAAATCTTATATAGCAAAATGTGGTACAACACTCCTTGTTCTCCCCTACTTAACTCTTGGACAGGATTCTTTACTGTACTACAGTAAAGATAATGAACGATTATATCACAATTCTGTATTTGTGCATTACAATCTGTCGTTCTGTTAGATATTGTGGACTGAATTGTGAGTTTTGTTTATTGAAACAATTAATGTGTCACAATGGCATAAAATAAGTGCAAAAAAGGAAATGCAATTATATAATAAAACACGGCATGAATGTGAAATGTTTGTCAAATGACTTCTGTAGCGATTTAAAACACTTGCAGTTTAAAAAGGTCAAAATATAACAAAGAGGACAGTATGTACAAAGGACTGTAGTTTTAACAAGCCAATATTCTTCAGTGAAGTGACACTGCGTTCATTTTGCAAACAGTGTATTCTCAGCCGTGCTGTCTTTCAGCTAACACACAGAACACAATTCTCATCACTCAACACCACCGAAGTCTACCAGGGCAGAGAAAAACATGGAGCCTCTATAAATATACACATGTTCCTCATACAGATGTCAGCGCGAGGCCAACACACACACGCATAGATAGACAGACTCACTAACACAAACACATCACTTGCAAAAACATGGTTGAAATTTCACCTCAAAACCAGCAGAAAAAAAAAATAGGAAAGTGTTTTTTGCAAGAAAACTAAGCCTGTTTTTAGGACCAGATTCACACATTCAGCACATCCTTTTTAGCGTAATAAAAATGATACATTACTTTAATTTAATAATTTAATATAAGTATTTACAGATCATGTATGAATTTGTTGTACTGTCTTTCCATTTACTGTAAAACAATAATAAATGAATTCACTAGATGCATTACAAGTTGGTCAAGGAAGTCACACAATCAAAATAATTTTAATGGGCCTTAAAAATAAGATTTACCTTCTTTGTGTGAAATAATTGTATTTCATAAATATAACCCTGGACCAGAAAACCAGCCAGAAGGGTCAATTTTTTGAAATTGAGATTTATACATCATCTGAAAGCTGAATAAATAATCTTTCCATTGATGTACGGTTTGTTAGGATCGGACAATATTTGACCGAGATACAACTATTTGAAAATCTGGAATCTGAGGGTGCAAAAAAATCCAAATATTGAAAAAATCATCTTTAAAGTTGTCCAAATGAAGTTCTTAGCAATGCATATTACTAATCAAAAATTAAGTTTTGATATATTTACAGTAGGAAATGTACAAAATATCGTCATGGAACATGATCTTTACTTAATATCCTAATGATTTTTGGCATAAAAGAGAAATCTATAATTTTGACCCATACAATGTATTGTTGGCTATTGCTACAAATATACCCCAGCGACTTAACACTGCTTTTGTGCTGCAGGCTCACATATGTGAAATGTGTCCCGGACATGTTTTGCTGAGATTGACCAACAGATTCCTTTAGCAAAGCTGTAGATATTTTTGAGAACTAACAAACCCTGACTACAGGAGGACCTGAAGAGGCAGACATGATCCTGTGACACTCGGTAGTGTGCATTGTGTGCGGTTAGGGAGCACATGAGAGCTTTGAAATGTTCGCCATTCAATACTATTCCTCTAGTGTTCCTCTTGCTCTTGGTCACTCAGACCCTGTTCACAGAAACACCTGTTCAGGTTTCAGAGGACAGCTGTGCACAGCAATAAAACCCACCCCGCGCACATTAAAAAAGCAGTTCATTGATGCATGCTCCAATCCCATTAGCTTTCTTCTAAGTCTGATACTGTACGTCATGAGTCTTCACCTCCGTCGTTTAAGTGCGAACACTTGTCTTTTACGTGTTTTCCTTTAATTGACACATGAAATGTTCCTTTGACATCATTTCCTTTATCGGTTCAGCACCATTATAAATCTTCAACGTACATTTGGCATGCAATGCTATGCACCTGCCTTCATGGTACAATCAAATTATGAACTTAGCCAGCACAATAAATTATTAGGGGGAAAAAAAGAAGGTAACAAAGCATATACGTGGTTTAATATTGAGCTTGTTTTATGAAATGATTTAACGAAATGTCTTTGTGTGCCATTGTAGATGGGCATCGCAGAGAAAGTCTGATTTTCAAAGATATTCCTCTTTCCTTTTGCCTCCACTTTTGTCCGAATGTCCTCTTTCCTGTCCATGTCAGTTGTCTTAGCTCCTGATTTTCCTTCCCACTGAGACTTTATGTTCATCTCTCCGTGCATTTGCTTACTTATGGTCCAGAGAGAGTTAGAGCCATGGAGCACTTTCTGAAGATAACATAATGCTGTGCAGTCAGATGAACTCTAACTGCATTTGCAGCTCCTCACCACCATGTTGGACAACTGCTCCACCTAGAAACAGAGCCAAGACAAAATGACTCATTCAGGAGAAAAAAAAACACTCTCTTTGTGCCTTCTCTGCTTCTCTGGGATATCTATCCTATGCATGAAGCTGAGAAGTCATTAAAATGATCAAAATAATCATTTACCTTGTGTTGTCTGCCCACATAGTACAGAATGGGCAGAGGGTCAAGGACTGCAGGTGCGCAGCAAGGCTGAGCAGACGCACCGGGGTTGTGGTGTTTGTATAAGGCTAATATCTGAGAAACAAATACAAATACCAATTGATACTGCAGTGAAACTGAGAAGCAGTGCATGTCTTGTTGTATTTTTTATGTCAGTTATCTGTTCACTCATTCACCTGATCTCATTAGTAGCCTATTCCATGCATTACATAATGGCTTATTTTAATGATGAGTTTACCTGTTGAATATTTCAATATTAAAAAGGTTTAAAATCGCACAGTCAAACACAACTAAAATTGGCGTAACACTAATTAGAAAAGAGGGACATTACTTAAAATTGTGTATATGCATTTATTTTGTAAATCAAATTCACTTAAATATTAAAATATCCATTATGCAAATCATACAATTTCCTGGAAACATCTGCTACTATTGAATTTTAGGCATTTGCTACGTTGTGACCAAAAGAACATTCACAATGGCAAAACTTTAGCTGCTCTGTACACTCGTGGCATTCTCTCAAACAACTTCATGGGGTGCATTTTTATTGCCTTTTAAACGGGTCATATGATGCTGCTAAAAATAACATTATTTTGTGTATTTGGTGTAATGCAATGTGTTTATGTGGTTTAAGGTTCAAAAAACACATTATTTTCCACATACTGTACATTAATGTTTTGGGTTGAAGTGTTCTGGAACAGTGTTGTAAATACAACTTAACCACTGATTTCTAGTCGTGTCCTCTTTTGGAAGACCAAACAAAGTAGTTTCGCTTTCACAACGAAACACACAGTGCCTTCACGACATGGCGGCGGCAGCAACAATACTAGAGCGAAAATAAAAGTTACACCTTCTTTCTTTGCGTGAACATTTAGGCAGCATTATGCAAATCTTCCCACATAGTGATGTAGACATGTGGGGGCGTGTTAGAACGAGCCGTTTTAGGAAGGCGTGGCTGACTCTTAACTTTTATAAAGAATATCTCTTTGGATTTGAGACTTTAGTCTGTGCAACTTTACAGATCTTCTTTATGCACCAAGAGCTTGTAACACTCCAAAGAGAAAGGAACAATTGAAATTGCATCATATGACCCCTTTAAGCAGTATCGAAGCATTTGTCAAGTATGTTGGCTGCTTTTCCTTCACTATCTAGTCCAACTCTTAAAACAAATCATTATTACTTTTGTTAGTAAATTCAGTAACCCTTCAGATTAGGGAAAACAAATTCACTCTTAACTAAGAGTTTTACCTAAATAAACTCTAATTGCTGCTTATTGATAGTAAGGTAGTAGATGTAGTAGTTGTGTTTAGGTACAGGGTTAAAGGATCTAGAACAGGTTCATGCAAAATAAGGCATTAATATGTGCTTTATAAGTACTAATAAACAGCCAATATGCTAGCGATATGCATGCTAATAAACAACTAATTAATAGTGTTCCCTAATCTAAAGTGTTACTGGATTTTCAAAGATACACAATTTATGTTTGTGTACAAAACTCATTGCAAACATTTAAGCCTGAGCCTTTATATCACATGGTTTTTGTACTGTTGTTACACTGATCTTGCGCTCTCCCCTTCCAAGTACCTCACATGTCCATCTGGATACTATCTGCATTGTAAATGAACTAACGTACTGCACTGCTGTGCAGGAGAAACCCAAAAAAGGAAAATCCTGTCATCATATACTTTCCCTCATGCAATTCCAAACCTGTATGAGTTTTTTTCCTTCCATAGAGCACAAAGAAATCTATTTTGTGAAATGTCTCCTCAGTGTTTTTGTCCATGCAATGAAAAAAAAATAAACTCTTTAAACTGGTGAAATTTAAAGCTCACATAGGTACAACTCAAAAAGCTAAAAAAGAAAGAACATCATTGTTATAACTGAAGATGTAATGACATCAAATGTATGGCATTTCAGCCCTTGGGGTAACTAGTCATTCAAAACTTGTTTTTGCCAAACTTTTGCGCTTCTTCTCTATCCCCCCGATATTCCCCTCTGGATATTACTGTACCTGTGCATTGAAAATGAATGTACTTCACACAGCCACAGGAATCAATATTATGTAGATTCCAACTCAAAGAAATCTGTCATCAGTTTCTTAAGATGGTGTTGTGTATCCTTGCTCTAGACATGACAGGAACCAGCCAGAGCAAGCAAATGGTGCAGGCAGGAAAACTAAGGCTACATTTACACTGCAGATCTTGATGACCAATTCCACTTTGTGGATTGTATCTCATTTATTTCTGATGACTAGTTTACATCTTCTTTTAAAAGTGACCCATATCTGATATTTGCATTTGCACTATACACTTGGTGTTGCTGTACATGATTTTAGGCTAATATTGGCATAAGCCCTTGCACAGGATTCCTTTCAGCTTGTCCAGGTAAATGTAAAGTTCAGTAATAATGCCGTAAGGTAGTTTTAGATGTGCTCTGTACAAAATATAATAATAATAATAATAATTGTGCAGAAAACCTCAAAAATTCTCACACTTTTAATGACATCTGCTTTATTGGTCAACTGGGACTGGGGTGAAACAGCACCCTACCTGAGAGTATTTGTTCTCAGCATTCCAGATGTAGGTACAGGAGCCCATGCAGTAGTTGGCAAAGTATCCCTTGGGCTTGTGAATCCACTTCCAACCCAGATCTTTCCGAAAGTCAATGTAAAGCTTCCGCATACTGCAGATCTCGTTTTTTCTGCCAGAGAATGTTGGGAAAGAGGGAGTCTAATTATATTATTGTGTGTTCAGTGGTGCCTTAAGTTACATTTTTACGCCTCGTTATTACATAGAAATAATTGATAGTGGGATATTGAATTATTGAATTACAGTTGCCCTATTCGTTTTTTTCCCTGCTGGAATTTTCATGCATAATTTTATTCCATTATCGACATTTCGTTCAGTTGCATGAACAGCAATCCGATCGTCTTTGTCTTTTTTTCCCTGGTTGTTCGGTGGACTGTGTGGCAGTCCTGTTGAAAAATATGTCAAAATGTCCATCTCGGTGAGTTTTTACTTAAATGCACTCAGTTATGGGTGAATATTAACAGTTGGGAAAGTAATCGAATGCTTGTCAGTATATTAGGTCTATGCATCGTCTTAAAGTGACAGCAGCCTTATAAACCTGCTGCTGTCTCTGTCATTTAATGTTCTTCACTGAATAATTTTAGTAACTTTAATAACAGTCATTATATATTTAATCATGTTAAATTACTATTATTTTAGTAGGCTAAATTTATAATATCATTTGTATCTTTTTTATATTTAATTTGTCATATTGTTTGTAATTTTCTCTTTTTTTATCTTGAATATATTATATAAAATTTGGTTACACTTTATTTCAATAGTCCACTTTAGACATTCTACTAACTATAAGTAACTTTGTAACTACATGTCAACTACATGTCAACTAATTATCATTAATTTGCAACTACATGTCTACTTACTCTCAGAGTAGACTGGTAGGTTAGGTTTAGGGTAGTAGAATAAGTTGACAAAGAAAGTGTTAGCAGATATTAAGCAGACAGTCTACTAATACTCCACTAACTGCTAGTTGACATGTAGTTGCAAAGTTACTTACTGTTAATAGAATGTCTAAAGTGGACTATCGAAATAAAGTGTTACCTAAAATTTTCCTTAGGGGCCCCAGAAGTCTAGAACCAGCACTGCCAATCAGAATCAAGAATTTAACAATGTCACAATATAAAGCACATTCAAATTTGGTCCACATGAGAAGATGATAAGTATTGTAATCTGTACTCCCATACGGTATCTATAAATAAAACAAAAGAGTGAAAGAGAGCAAACAGACTTACTCATCAGTTTCATCAGTGCCAACAGCTCGTTTCCTGCGAGCAGATGCAAGGGAGCTGCCATTAGAAGGCAAAGATAAAGCCAGAATATAAGGCTTTGGCATCATCCCTGCCAGATCAGCAGTGTCACCTCTCTGCTTGTCTAGTCCTTAAAATACACACACATACAGTTCACAGAGATAACGATTACATTAAAGATTATATCAGTTTGGATTCATCAGGCATACATTTCCAGCACTAGGTTTCAGATGATTGAGATCATCATACCTGATATCATGAAGAGGAACTTATCAGTACTCTGCTGGTCTGTCTTACAGCCACAGTATAACCTCAGCTCTAAACTTTCTTCCTCTTCTGTTAAGCACACACAAACACACACACAAGTTTATTTGGGTTTTGCAGCACTCTTCTGTATAAGCCATTTAACACATGCACTAACATCAAAGAAGGAAATAAATGGGTCCTTAAAAATTGGTCACATACTAATCAAGTCTATTCAGAATGAATTATGTAGTTGATTCAGCCAGTTTTTCTTAAGATACCATCATTTATGTAATCTTTCAAATGAAGGAAAGGAAGCTTAGCTTTCCAAATCTTTACTACACTTCTGTGAATAGTGGCCATAGTTAAACCGTGGTATTTCTAGTAAGACTGTAAGCACATCAATTCATAACTCTGGATTATAATGGTTAAATTAAATTAACCCTGACTTCTGTTAACAAACTGTTTGTTTGTTTTTTCTGTTTTTTAACTTTTTCACCTTTATTAGACATGACAGTTGGAGAAAAGACAGGAAACGATTAGTCTCAGCCTGAGACGACAGAGAGCCCACGCTCTGTTAGCTAACCGTCTGATGCATACGGCACACTAAACTGGAGACGCTTTCTCTCAGTCTAAATCTAACTGGCTGACTTTTACAGGATTTCAGGGAGACAAAACTGTGTTTCAGAACAGTCTTCCAAAAGACAAGTAAGCGCTTCAAGTGAGAAACTAAAAATAATAAAAATCATGTCTTATAGTGTCTTTAACCTTTTAATCCTTTTTGAACATAGACGTGAAAATGCATCTGAACTTAGAAGGTTGGTAAATTCATGAACACTTTTGGAATACAGACCTAAGGTCTCTTTAGTTTACTGTAAAGAAAATGTACTGGATGTTTTTATTTGATCTAAAATAAATATGAAAAAATATTTTGGAATCTATAATTGTTATCAAATAAAAGCAATAAGTCTTACTAAGTTATGTTCCAAATTTGAAGTTGATATCACAAAAATCGAAAAATAAGATTTTGTTTAGGCGCTATACCACAAATAGCCACTGGATGACTTCACTGAATTTTTTAAATGCATTTTCCTGTCACAAATGTATACATTTCTGTCACAATATTACTAAAATAAAACAAAATAAACCAACCAACAAACAAACTGCAAAATATTGGAACCCTGAGATTCAGACCTTTCCAATGATATGTTTTGTGTGAAAAGTGTGTAAAGTTTTCACTTGTGTGAAAATGGCTGCCCACAAAGTTATGGCAAACTACAATATTTGTTATGAAAAATAATAAACATACTGAAATTGCCATAGTTACGGCTAGAGTTTTTCATTTTCCGAATATAAGTGGTGCTTGTTTGTGCAAAAATTCTTTATCATAATTATAGTGTTCTGGAAAAAGCCCACCCTCAAATCATGACATTGTAGGTAAGATTGTGCTGTTCCTTCAACAATTTTTATGCGCCAGATCCAAACACTTATAAGTAACAGTACACCTCTCTGAACAGTATCAAGAATTATTCATGTCAGTTGCACAAAAAATGCAAAATGAATCATATGCCAAAGTTTAATACTTAGTGTTACGGATTTATTCAAATCCCTAATCATAAGTATGCGCAATAATAATAATAATAATGCTTTAGCAAACACCACTAATAAAACAGATTTGCTCACTTCCCTAACATATATTTTAGTGCAAGTAACATTTCATCCAAATGATGGTGCTTACTACAGTTATGACTATATTCATAATATAGCAAAGCCTCTTGTTCCTTGTTTATTAAGTATAACATGCACCATCATGATTATTATGCTCCTATGTGTACTGTGGTCTGCAAGTTCTTATTTGTTCACTTTCAGCGCCAGTAACAGAATTCTGCATTAATGTCTCGCTGAGGTTTTGTGAGGTTGTCACAACATTATATAGACACTGAAGAAAAGGTAGACTGTTTTAACCAAACAGATTATGTGGAACATAATTTAGGAATACATTCTTATGAGCACATCTCAAATACACTCATCAATCGCAATTGGGAAACTACAGCTGATGTTAGCTGAATGCTGCCATGACCTTACCTGAGCCCTGCAGCCATTCTATTATCGTCTGTTTCACGTCAAACGAGAGCCAGCGATCAGACAAGGCCTTGGAGACAAAGCGAGTGCCCAGATATCGAGCCTGATCGCCCGTTCCACGATACAGCTCCAGCCTCTGCTCCTGGTCCATTGTAGGGCTCTTAATCCGAAGCCGTAACTCGGCTTGAGACAGGAGCCGGTGGTCTGGAATAGTCTGCTTCATCTCTGACATGTTAAAAGTCATCTGATGCTTTGTGCCATTCTGAGCTACAGAGAAAGTGAGAGACAGAAAAGTTCATGCTTATTTTTAAGCTCGGACAACAGACCACTCTTTTGTCAGATGAGGCATTAAACCACGGACCAACTAAGTCCTGGATTTGCCAAAGTTTGCCAAATATTAACCAAATCTTTGAAAGATATTTAGAGTTTTGTTTGAGGTACTAAGTAAACTAGGTATCCATAAGCAGAATTGTATGTTCGCCTTTGTTTTGACTTGTTTGTGAATTGATCAGTATTTATTGGATGGATAGAAATTGTGAAATTATTATGAATGGTACCTAGTTTTTCAGATAAACCCGTCCCTAAATGGTGCAAAAATTGAACTGATTTGTTGCTTTTCATGTCAGTCAGATGGCGGTTCTTGGCCTTTACAATACAGGCAAGGCAGCATTAGTGTTGTATAGCTAAATGAGACTTATGATGCCCTTGCTTGTATTTTGGCAGTAGCTGTGTAATTTAAAGAGAAAGCCTCATTAACCTGTGTTCAGGGTTGCTATAACTGGTTTTGCTGATATTTAACATGGGGAGAAGGCCAATGGTGTGGGATGAGTTACCTCAGTCTCATTATGTTTAAGACAGCCATTTACTACACTCTTGAAAATAAAGGTGCTTCAAAAGGTTCTTCAAGCGATGCCATAGAAGAACCATTTTTGGTTCCACAAAGAACCATTCAGTCAAAGGTTCTTTAAAGAACCATCTCCTTCTTACCTTTTTGTAATCTGAAGAACCTTCTTTCGCCACAAAGAACCTTTTGTGAAACAGAAAGGTTCTTCAGATGTTAAAGGTTCTTTATGGAACCATTTAGACAAAAAGGTTATTCTATGGCATCGTGAAGCACCTTTATTTTTAAGAGTATACTGGCTAAACTTCAGCTCTACCGCTACCATTTTTCAAGCTGCTGGATAGACTACAACTCTTCTACCACCTAATGCCGGTGTGACGTGTCCCAACCTTCAAGCAAAAGGAGCTGAGACCAGTTGCATAAACATAGGACTGTGTCTTAAGAACTAGTGTGACCAACTAGCAGTTAGCCAAGTCTGGGCCGATCATGCAGAAAATCGGCTAATTCCAGTCCCTGGCCGGTCGATTGGTGCATCTACTATTTGTAACTGACATTAAAAAGTTGCATAAACTGCTAAGACTAGTCTTTCTTCAAGACTGGCCATAACTTTGTAAAAAGGTAGATTGATCTAATTTGAATCTGAAAACTAAGGCTACATCCACACGAAGCCAGAGCTTTTCCTATCCGATCGTTTTTTTCCCCTCGTCTCAAGAATTATCAGCGTCCACACGAAACCGACACAAAACGATGTAGTATACATGCCAGACCAGTATGTGGTGCCGTAATTCTGCCACAGAGATACACTAAAAACGGAGAAGACGACTTGGACTGTGTGCATAAACCTTGCGTGCGGTATACAAACGAACAATACATTTATTAATCTGTGTTACTGTTAGTTAATAAAAAGACAATCGTTCAGTGTTTGTTCATGTTTTTGTTGCCGTTACGTGACGTAGCGGTGGCTGAGACGTGAGCTGATGACGTCATCGTTTCAGAAAGTATACGGATTCGCTGTCCACATGAAAACGCAAGGGCGGCGTTTTCAGATTTATCCACTCTGGGACCCGTTTCAAAAAATGTTGGTTTCACTCTCCCAAAACGCCGGATCCGCCTGGACGAAACGCCTATACGATACAAAATGTATGCGCATACAGTTAAACGCGTCTCCGTGTGGACGGGGCCTAAGACTGATTACAGCTTGTTTAACTGCAGTCAGTCAAACTAGTTCTTAATATAGCTGTAATGTTTAAGCAATTGGCCCCAGTATTGACAGAAAAAATGACATGACTAACTTTTTTAAGACTAATCCAAGCAGTTATGCAGCCAACCACTGTTGGATGCAAAATTTTCAATAATATCAATCCACAAATCTGACTTCTGGAATCTGGAATCATAAATCACACCGTGCTCATTCATTCAGTCAGAGGAGACTGAGCCTGGTTCATTACCACTGTTGCCATGGGCTTGTTTAGTTGGGGTTTAAAAGACACTTAATATTCACTAATACTGCATTATTGATTTGACTGCACTGACACTATTGGATGAGAATGAAATTTGAACTAATTCGAGGTAGATGATGACACTATTGTCGTTTGTAGAGCTGCTTAATGAATTATTTTCATAATTGATGAACTTTACACAGTTACTGGACTTACTTGAATTGAACTGAATAATGACATTTGAATTTCATATTTGATGAAGTTTCTATCTATCTATCTTTTAAATGTCCTTATAAATGTCCATTGTTCCAGGCAACTGATTTCCAACATTCTGCGCTAGTGTCTCTCATATAAATCCACTCTCTCTTTCTTCCCATATAATAATCTTCAAATCAGTAACTTTGCTGCTATGTATCACATGTTCTGCAGGAAACCAACTACACCAACTGTGCACATGACATTAAAACAAGACTTTATTTTTGACATTTAAAGCTTGACATTTAAGTGCAATGTTTGTCAGAAAGGGGACTTCCTTTGCTGGAGCTCAGATCAGATGATGACATGATTGAGATCTATCAGAGGTCGCTGGACAGCTGCTGGAGGATGTAGGAGGATGGGTGGAACCTTCTCTGTGGTGGTTAATTCCACTAATTACCCATCCGCACACAGCAACTATCTTCAGTAATTCTATAGTTGTAGTTGTTAAGTTTATATATGGTGTAGGATTAAGTGATGTAGAATACAGCCATGCAGAATAAGGCATTAATGTGTGCTTTATAAGTACTAATAAACAGACAATAATAATATGCATGATAATAAGCAGCTAGTTAATAGTGAAAAGTGTTCCCTAATCTAAAGTGTTACCATATCTTCTACTAATCCATAATTATTCTCAATGATCTTCCTATATTGAATATGCAATAATCAATCCAGACAATCCAGTGAATGACATTTAATAACCCTGTTGTAGCATACAAAACCAATAAGCTGAATCTCACAAAAACAATCTCACGAAACACATACCCGGGTCAAACTGCATCCCAAAAATAAAGAGAGAAAAAAAAAAATTATATCACTAATTATGAAAAAAAAAAAAAAACTAGTAAAACATCCAGGCACAATACAGAATTAGAACTGTGAAGAGAATGTGGTCAAACATTTGTTATAATTACTATTATAATTAAGAATAAAAATAATATATAATATGTGACCTGGATATGCTTTCATAAGATTCACCCAATAGCAATAAAACTTTCTCATTAGCTTGGTTATAAAGAGAGAGAAAAATAAAGAGAGAGAGAGAGAGATTTAACTATATTACTAATAATACTGATAAAAAATAATAAATGTACTGTTGTATAGTCTTATTAAATAAACACATGGTAAAACATCCAGACACATTGCAGTAATGTGAGATTATTATATATATTTTATACGTATATAATTTATTTTATTTTATTGTGGTTTTGGGTTGAAATGTGACCCACATGCTCTCATGAGATTCATCCAATAGCTATAATGACTTTTTTTTTCTTTTCTTTTTTCTCATTAGCTTGGTGCTATATGTTGGACATGTTCTATTCATTGTTGAGGGATATATTGTATTGATTTGGAAAATATTTTGTATGGGTCCCATGTATCAACACCTGTGGTCATATAAAAGGTGTCAAGGACTGAAGGCACTGCTCTTTGTGTACGGTAGTGCAGATGAGGGTGGAGAGGGATTTCTGTGTGTGTGTGTGTGTGTGTGTGTGTGTTTACGCAGGCTGGCGCTCAGGTAAGCCGAGGACAGCTGTCCTAACAAGCACTGAGACAGGCCTATCATTAGTAATGGGTGCAACTAGATTCCAGCAGGCTTAAAAATCTGCGTCTCCAACAAACGCTTCACCCTTCTTCTCCTCTTACTATCGCCATGCATAGAATAACGCCTCTCTCTTTCCTCGTCTATCTATCCTGCTCCAATCACATTAAGACATGACACATTTCCCCGGCAGATGAGCTGTGCAGTCAGCACAATCTTTGACATGTGATAACATGAAATGAAAAATAGCACACATGCAGTAGAACAGACTGATTAGTCTGAAGGAGGACATGGAAACTTGCATGGCATGGCTATAAAATAAGTGCTCTTGATTTGACAGCATAATTTATGATTACACAGTACACAGTTCTTCATCTACTTTTAACTAACAGATACTATCAAGTCTAGAAAGCCAAAAGGAAAAATAAATGTTCCAAATAAAATACAATGTGGCAAATCTGCATTGTAGCAAGTTAAACATCTATCCTACTGAAAAAAAATGATAATGGAAAGAAGGAACGCCATATTAGATAATGACAGCAATCCATAATCCTACAAAAACAAATCTGTAATCCTGAAAAAAATATTTCAACACACTCTCATTGCTTAAAGTAGTGGTTCTATCTATTTAAAAACTGACAACACTAAACACATGATGTTTTTTCTGATTGTGTTCAACAAGTCGAGGATTGGTCTGCTTTCTTGAATGCATTTAAAAGTATTGCAACAATACAAATCCACAATATAAAATATAAATGATTATAGGTGTTTCCTAAGGCAAGCGTAGCTATTTCTACTATTAGAACAAACCTTGATCTAACCTTAATCAATACATTTTGTCACATAAAGGCTGGAATACATTACACCACTTTTGCCCAGATTTTCGCCCCGATTTACAGTCTGGACAAATTGATGCAATAGTTGCCAAAAGTCAGAATCAGTGTGCAGATTTGAGTTGACAGATTTCATAGAATGTTTTTTCTTTAGCTTCAGACTATGATTCCATCCAGTAGGAGGATATCAAAAAATGTTGGGGAAAGTTACTTTAAAAGTAATGCATTACAATATTGAGCTACTCCATAAAAAAGTAACTTGTGTTACTTAGTTACTTTTTATGGAAATGAATGCATCACGTTACTTTTTGTCACCTGGGCTGTGCTTGTTTGCTTTGTTTTTAATAACAACAAACTGAGAGAGCTGTCAGTGAATAAATGGAAAAACAAAGTAACTTGTTTTACTTATTTGAAAAAGTAACTTTTTATGTTGTAAATTTAAAAGTAATACATTACGAGTTACTTGAAAAAAGTAATCTGATTACATTACTTGTAATGCGTTAACCCTAACACGTTTGATATTTTGATCCGATTAAAAATATATATATATTTTTTTTTTTTTGAGTTTGAGATGACTTGAAAAGTCTGATAGTGTGTGATCCTCAGTCATTTAGTGTGTGATGCCCAGTTTTTCCTCTGTAATCTACAAAGTCAGCAAGTGGATGATGCCTAGTGTTTTAAAATCTGTTTAGATTTTAGAAGTCGTGTAGTGTATTCCAGCCTTAACTCACCCAACACTGTTTATGCTACAGACATGAATTACACCTCAAATCATACAATTTTGCTTGTAACCACCTAGCAACATCCCAGAACACTTTAGCAGCCACATAGAAATGTTCTAAAAACACTCTGAAAACCCTGGCAACTCAATGAAACACCCAGGAAACCACAAACTACACCCTAGCACTGAAGCCGTGACATTTGCTTGGTTTAAGCATGGGGTAACCATAACCTAACAGCCTAGTAATACTCTAATGAGAGTTAGTTGACATAGTTGCAAAGTTACTTATAATCAACAGAATTTCTCATGTGGACTATCAAAATGAAGTGTAACCAAGCACAGATTTCCTCAGAAAATATACAAATCGAATTATTAATTTACAATTGTGGCTCCAACTTAGAATTGCTTCACATACTGTGCATCAGTTAATTCTTGTGTAATGTAGTCTTGCAAAAGTAAGCAATTACTACAGTACTACAGACTGTACATACTGAGCGTGGGAGGCCTTGCACTTGCATCAGGACTTATTTATTAAAATGTATTCCACCTTAAACACATGTAAGAAGCCTTACACAAACACGAGAACATAAAGAGGTCTGTTGTCCCATGAGGGAAGCCGCAAAAGGGGGAATTCAACTTTGCTATTTGGGACTATTTCCTGTAAATCTTAATCACACTCAGAAACAAGCAACCCTCTTTGCTGTCAAATGGGCCCGTCAAAAATTGAGCAAAAAGACAGAACCAGTAAGAGACACAGAATAGACAGCTCAGTTACAGGAAAGCCCCTAACTCCAGAGGAATACACAATTAGTGAAAAGGACTGCGTGTGAATCTGACTCGTCTACCCTTTCTCTTTGTCCTTGGTTTCCATCCTTCGAGCAAGCCCCATCTCCACGGAGGTCTTTATTCACTGCACATATCAGATCACAGGCCTGATGTTTATGTCTGAAGTGTTTGAAGTGGTTAAAGGAGGTAAAGAGGGTGAGGGATGAAAGCAAGTGCATGGGTGGTAAGCATCAAATGTAAAGTTATTTCCCCATCAAAAAAAAACAGATGTAGCACTGCTTTAATAACAGATCCCCCCCACCAGCTTACTCTGATCAAGCTGGGGGATTTTTCACAGTTTTGATCAAAAAAACAGATTGTTCAGAACAAACAGACAGAAGTGTCCTCAAACTGTTCACCCCCTATAGCAAGAACTTGTTGTTAAAGCTTCGACTTTTACAATCGAACACATGAAGCCAACAGCGAAAACAACTAGGCTATTAAAATACCACAGATAGTCTGAGAGCAGATGGAGGATGCAATGCTGCCTAGCTCCCCTAGGGTCTGCATGAGGGGATTCAGGGGAACACATGTGATACAAACCTATGAGAGCATGAATCATCACATTCATTGTTTACTTAACATTAATAATCCGAGCTGGACATGTTGGTCTACTTTTCAAAGAGCTAGAGACACAGGACTTTTAATACTTGAATGGCACTGCTGTTTCTTTAAAGAAAATACATAAAGGATAATACAGGATAAAAGGATGAATCACTATGAAGTATGAATATGAAGAGGTTTATTTCTGTAATGCCTGGATGACTGTATACTGTTCCACATAATTAAATGGCTACTTACCAAATACCCATTTGCACATGTAATATGTGTACATTTCTGTATATGAAATATACTGTCACAAGAAGTTAAAACATTAACTATCCTAAAACCCATCAATATATATATATAATGTTGATGTTATAGATAGGCATGTATTAAAAAATAAACATACAGATTTGTTTTAATAAAGATGCACATATAAATAAATAAAGAATATATGGTTGGCATATGATTGCTGCATATAATGTTATATACTGTATACAAAATCATTATATAGATGTAAATAACATATGAACATACAATTTTTACTATTTGAATTCTATATATGTTATAAACGTAATAAAATGTACGTACGTTAAAATTATATATTGTCTTATAGGTAACATATATAGCAGATTTACTCTTGATATTGGGCCATTTTTATCATATATTACATTTCCATATAAGTAAGTAAATAAATAAATGACATGTAATTTTGGTTTGAGTTCACCTTATTTTAGTATGTAAAAGAAACGGAGTGAAATGAGAGACAATAGACTAGCTCAGACATGTAGGAAACTGTTGTCTAGGAAATATATCAATTATACAGCTGCCAATTATAATTATAACTATAAAGTGATTATTATCATACAAAAATATTTCACCACAGAATGCCGACATGAATGAATAGGACATTATGTTAGATTAAAGAAGTCCAAAAAAAGAACACTTCTGAGGACACTTCTTACCTTGTTGGATGGTGAACTTGTGCACCTCCTTGCCAAAGTAATCTTCATCTTCAGCCTCCACAGAAACGGGCTTCATCTTCATTTCTTCGCTCAGTTCAACGGTGCTGTTGTACAAAGAAAGCAAGTCGTCTGGGATCTTCAGTCCATCATCGTCTATCTCAGATTCGGGCTCTTTGGCCATGCGCAGTTTGCTGAGGATCTGACCGCGGATGGCCTCTATCCGTTTCTTCTTCACCACCTCCAGATCCAGAGTTTTGCACGTGGACATACCTCCTGTTCTAGCCACCATGCACAGGGCCGTCACTACCAAACAAAGCAACCTCATGGTGCCAAATCTGAGAGCAAACTGTCTTTAGGTAAGGAGAGAGAGGCTCACCAAGAGTCTGTGATTGATGCAGAGCGTTTGGATCAAACAGACACGGCAGTCTTTTGTTATTATTGAGGTGATGCTACCCGATGATGATTCTGGAAAGCACCTTGAATAATGAAGCCAACAGAACAGCTGATATCTGTCTAATAAGGGAAATTCCTGATACTTCACCTGTTTCAGAGGTCCATCCAGGTGCAGTTTGGCCAAATGGGGCAAGCACTCCCTCACATAAACAAGCTTTGAGGCACACAAAGACCATGCGATCGCTAGGCTACACCTGAACGCCACCACATGCACTTATATATATGCGTCTAAGCATACATTTTTTCCTTTCGGCACAGCTTTACCACCGGCTCACTGCTGGCAGAAACACACAGAAGTGCTTGTGTGAGTCCATGCGTCTGGACTGACTCGTTTTCTCTCCTCTAGTAATGGATAGTTCCTGCTGTGAAAACACGCAGAGGTCCAGATACAATGACACTTCTGTAACCGTGCTTGCTCACTAACTTTCCTCTCTACTCACAGCTTCTCTGGTCTTGATGCTTCAGCAGATGTTGTCATCTCGCACAGAAACCTCTAAGAAGTCCTGACTAAACCAGACAACCCCATCCAGCTGCATCCTGCATTCGTGACAAGACAAAGGGACGTGTCCAGCTCAGATTTCCTCAAAGATTTACAACATTAGGTTTCCTCTGTTGGTCAGACCGATTTTCCGGAAGCATTCAGACAATCAGATAACAGTACCGGTGACTTGCAGAGTTTGAAAGTTCTTCATTTCACATGCAAATCTTGTGTTAGTCAAACGAGTTGCTTCCAAAGCTCTGTAAACCAGACGAAACTTGGTAAAGAGGTTTAACCAAGTTTGAATAACTCTAGAGCAGAGCGAAGTCTTCACAAGAGATCAGTCAAAATAAGTAACGGTGTTTTGTAGATGGCTTTTTAAGGGCTATAACCTCATTTTCTCTTAAGCTTTTCCCACTACAGAGACAAGTGGAAAGATCGACTGTCACGGCTAACCAAACACACTGCTTTCCCCCCAACCCCGACACAAACTCACATTTCACTGAGAGGAATTGAAAGGAAAACAGATCCTCTCGGAAAATACCCTGACGTTTTGGCCCCGGTGATGTAATGTGTCAGGAAAATCAAACTAACCACGTCCAACCCATGAGTCTCGAGTGACAGATGGAGTAAACAAAAAGAGCGAAACAAATGAACCGTCCATGAGTAGCCAGGCAGTAGACGCATGAAGCGCAGCAATGACAGCAAATGTCCTTTTTTCCTTCCCTGCTTGCCTTTGTTCTCTTCTGTTTGTCCACTTGTATGCCTTTTGACCTCAGTCTGGAGTAAAGGAGTCTCTCGTACAGCACTCTTTTTATTAGCTCCCTCTTGTAACACACTCCCTCTCCTCGCTTGTCAGAGCTTGCTGGTGACAAAGTGATTTGTGAGAGCTTTACGTTGCAATAACTTCTCTCTCCCACTCAAGTTCACTCACTCGCCCTCCTTTCAGGTTGCCGTTGCTTCAACAGAGCCGAAAGCTCTCCGCCCAGGAAATGAGGCTAACAGACTCTCTGAAATCTGTTCCTCACACAGCACTTCTCTTATACTGGCCAGGAAGCCCTTCGCAGCTTCTGGAAGACACACACACAGAGTGAAAGGACAGACAGGTAAATAACATGGCCATAACACTAATGTCTGGCCAAACCAACCACACACCTTTTTAAATGACTGCCAATGTAAGATGATGACAGAATGCTCTCTGTTGCATAAACGCACTCCCAAACCGAACCTGACGAGCTGCACAACAGAGCACTGTTATCAAGGCCACACTTATGTCATGCGGTGAGCTGATGTCCACTTTGCTGTTTATTTTCTGCCATCTGTATTGAATGTTTTTATGCAATTAAATAAAGGCTGAAATGTTAGACATATGCAATCCAAATACACATTTGGCTGGATTGAACAAGAATTAGGAGTTTTGTTTTTTTTTTTAATAAAAAATGATGGTGATTTTAACAGTAAAAGACTGTAAAAATGCTACAGTAAAAACCTGTTAACTGGTTAACAGTAAGTTTCCATACTATATACGGTGAATAAATGTAATTACATTTAATGTAATTTTACAGTAAAATACTGTTAAAAATACGTTTTTTGGAAGTGAAAAAGAAAACGTCAGTGTATAATTTACAGTGAAAACTGTAAATTGACACTCCCAGAATTCCCTGCATGACACTACATATTTTGTTGAAATAGCATGTTTCTTCTTCGTTTTTTCTTATTAGATGTGTACATCAGGGTTTAATCTTACATCTAATGTTGTTAAATTAATGTTTATTGCATCATTTCAGTTTCATGTGTGTCACCATGATGGGGTTTAGTGTTTGTGTGAATGACACTGTGTGAAACCTTCTATACATAAGAATAACCCTCCTCAAGCTGTTTGTGATGAGCTTTGGTTCATCATGTGACTTTCTCATCACCACCAGATTTTGGTGGTTATCAGTGCATTTCAATGGTTCAAAACAGATATTAACACTTCAATATGTTGGTTTATTAACATTACATCCGTTATTGAAATACGGTATTTTATTGTGAATTTAAGTTAAACCTAAAATGTTGCTACCATATTTTTTACAGTGAAGTTCTGGCAACCACAGCTGCCGGTATTTTACCGTAAATGTCACTTTTTTTTTTTTACAGTGTAACAATGACTTTACTGTGCCGTATTATGTTTTTTATAAATCAAGCTGCACAACACACCTTAGCAATACTATAGCAACCAGTTATTTGCATGTTCTCAGATAATCTCACTCCCCTTGAAAAATACACTGAGTCAAAGGGAATATAGAGTATAGTATACTGTGCTGGAAAATAATTCCATCATGCATTTTCACAAAGCACTTCATGGTGCACTTCACGTATCAGCGTGCTTTTCATTTGGATTGGCTTGGTTTGTTTTAAATGTCAGTAGCACGTAAAATTAAACAAATCTCTATAATTCAAATATGTTGTGTTTTCTGTGCTATATCACATATTGTTCTTAACATACAGCAGATAAAGCTTCGATATGTCTCGGCAGCATCCGTTTTCATGTGTTTCTGGCACCGTCTTGTGGACCAAATGAGAGCTGCTATTAATCATCACCATTAACAGGCATGCATAGAGACAGTCTTTAGGACTCAGCATTTTAACCTCTTTAGAACATATTAGATTTACTGCTAAATATGTTATACTTTTTCTTGGCATGTAGCAGGTCTGCATCTTCTTTTCAGAAATACAGAATGAAAAAAAAAAAACAATTCCAGTAGCATCTTCTGTTTACCAAACAATAAATCCCTCACTATAGCGTCTGTATCATATATCTGAATGTAATCCTTCAGTCTCCCCTAAGGTTAACTGTGGGACAGGGTCAAACCCAGTCCAGCACCATTTGTGTTTGTGGGTACAGCCAACACCAACCTGCAAACTTTCTCACAAACTACAGCCAAGGAAACCAGGCTCCAAACCAGAGAGATCGCTTGACAGAGACACTTCTAGAGCCCACAAACTCAAACTGCGGTGTGAAGCCGAATACAGAAAACATGCAGTCTCAGAACCTGTGTGTGAATATTGTCATTCTCACGAAAGTGTCAAAGCTAGTGCTTACTGGAAGTTTCTTCAACTCTGGTACCCCTAGTGTTTATTTTATTTATTTATCTATTTAAAAAAAATAAAAATACCTTTAACCGATGATTAATTATTTGGTAGTTTTATAAATTATATTTAATTAAAGGCTGTTGATAAAGAAACTAAATAACACAAATCAGAGTTAAACCGTATACAGAAATGTCTGAAATTTTGGTAAAAAGGCAAAACTTATGTCATATTTAGTTTATGTCTTATGTCTTCTTTTTAGTGAACAAAATTCCAACAATTACAGTTAGAGAGCTCTTTACTGTAATCCAATTCCTACTATAAAGAATTCAATTGTAGAGCTATTTACTGTAATTCAATTGTTACTAGTAAAAATACAATTACAGAGAGTAAAGCTGGGAGAATTTTAAGCTAATTCGGCATGCGATAGCCAACAGTTTTCCATGTAAACACTGACTCAAGACACAAGACTCAATTATATGGTGTGTGGAAAATAGTCAGTTTTTATTTATTACAATTACAAAGACGGTCACACTTTATGTTAGGTGAACAAACATGTTCTAACCTTAAAAACTGTCCTGCAGAGTTTAGCTCAAACATCAATAAAACACACATTGAAGGGGTCATATGATGTTGCTAAAAAGAATATTATTTTGTGTATTTGGTGTAATGAAATGTGTTTATGCGGTTTAAGGTTAAAAAACACATTATTTAACACATACTGTACATTATTGTTTCTCCTCTATGCTCCGCCTTTCTGAAACACGTCGATTTTTACAAAGCTCATCGGTCTGAAAAGCGAGGTGTGCTGTGATTGGCCAGCTATCCAGTGCGTTGTGATTGGCCGAATACCTCAAGCGTGTGACGGAAATGTTACACCCCTCACCATACTGTGATGCCGTGTCCCGGCGCGATGAGACAAAAACATTAAAACCCATTATAAACGAGGCATTTGTTGCATTCAGTGGGGGCATAATTACTGATTATAATGACTTATACTGTCTTTTTTTTACGCGTTGCGTTGGATCGCGCCGCGTAAACATTAAACCCTGTCTGCATTTGTGATCGGAGAAATGACGAACTACAAGCGCTACTCTACACTGCTCAAAACTGGCGTTTGAATCGTCAGTGGCAAATTATTTAAATATAAAAAACGTACTTACAGTCTTTGAGTCAGAACAGACATTGTAGTCTAATCTCCCAGGATCAGGAAACAGCACTGCACACATCTGGATATTTGGGTTGAAGTGTTCTGGAACAGTGTTGTAAATACAACTTAACCACTGATTTCTAGTCCTGTCCTCTTTTGGAAG